TTGTCCATGTAAGTACGTTAGTACTGGAGTTGCAAATAGAGCAGATTGTAAATGTCCAGTTGACAGAAAGATTCCTCTTATTGAGTGAAATTTCTGGGTTGACCAAAACACTACCAGAAAAATGGTGATTGGAAATATCAATCCAGTGGTGACAGGTAAACTGCAAAAGTCAGAAGAAAGAAAAAGGTAAGCGGCTATGTTCCTAGAGAAAATGAAATTGAAAAGACCTTGGATTTCTTTTCCCTGAAAGTGCTATACATCCCAGCAAACTATGCCGTCAAAGATCTGCATATCTGAAGAAGTCAGTTGTGAGTCATGCAGAGGAAAATCAAGAAATTGTTTGTCTTGGTTTTGATGGTAAGATTTATGTTACTCTTACACGTGTAGGATCGACTCAACGTAAGTTAAAAGAAAAACATTATGCTTTGGTTTCATAGAAGTTATTGATGGGAAATCTATTGGTTCAAGAACTTCCAAAGGACAAACATAAACCTATAATTGATTTCTCTCCTGTATCAGGTTGCGTTGCTGAGGTTGATGAGACCGTAATGAGTAACCTGAGTACAGATCAGGTGTACCTGCTTAAAATATGTCTGTTAATTCAATGTGGTTACAACGCCAGTAACAATTACATTGACTACTTGCAAACTGCTCAACCTGGTGCAGTTAGCCATGCCAGATGACTAACTAAAGCCAACTGTTCGTTGAGGTTGTATGTTAGCAAACAATGTCCTTCCCATTATCTTCGACGTATTGTTTCATTCATAATGAACTTCTATGCACCGCCATGGTTTCATATCAAATTTCATCCGACATGCCAAGACGGTGCCAAGAATTTCTTCTTCATCTTGTCGCTTTACCAGAAACTTGACAAGCCTGATTAGAAAATTGTTGCCCCAGTATTGCAAAACAACAGCTACTTTTGCCATCCGAAAAACATCTTGGTGGCAGCTGTTGGTGATGATGATGGAAATATTAGGAAATTCGCTTTTGAAAAAATTTTGAATGCTCATAGTGAACATTCCGATGATAGAATTCGTTGTTTTGACAAAAGCTTGATCAAAATTAACTTCACGTGCAAGTAATACTTAGACATGATCGACTGGAACAAAGCCATCTTTGCTTCACCTCCACTTCTGAATGACATCACGTCAGAAACAATTCTTAATCATTCAAAAGTTATTCTATCTAAGTTTCCATGGCATTTGCAAGATGTTGAGAGAAATATCAAAAATATATCGACGGTCTGCGGTAAAGTTTACGAACACGATTCACACCATGGTGTTATCATTCAAATGAAGAAATCAAGAATAGAATTGCCTAGTTTAGAAACTAAAGCTGATTTCCTACCATAAGTAAGACACTTATATTTAACATTTGTATGCTTGATATTTGTAATGCATGCCATGTTAGTTACTTGCTTTATTTTCTTACGAAGATGTGGAATTAGAGATGAAAACCTATATGCGAGCAAGGCTGGAAAGTGCGATAATTTGCAGACTAAGTTGCTAGAAAACGATGATGTATATTATAAATCAGTTTTTTGTGTAATAATTACTTTCTGATAAAGTACTGATTTTCATTTGTCTTAGACCCTAATTGGAAAATTTGTTATGTTTTGCCCCACCCTAATATATATATATATATATATATATATATATATATATATATATATATATATATATATATATATATATATAATATACTATATATATTGTTATTATATAAATATATATATATGTAATATATATGTATATATGTAATATATATATTATATATATATTATATATATATATCATATATATAATATATATTATATATATATATATATTATATATATATATTATATATATATATATATATATATATATATATATATATATATATTATATATATATATATATATATTTATATATATATATATATATATATATATATATATATATATATATATATATATATATATATATAAAGTGAGAGAGCTTGAAATAAAGACTAAAGGCCGAACATTGTTTGTCACTTGTTGGGTAAAAACATCTACCTGTCATTTTGTCTGACCCATATTTTGCGTGCATTTATTTTATAATTTTTTTAGTTTTTCTAAAATTATTAATAAACTTGTAGTGTATATAATCTTTTCATACATAACAGAAAATGAAGCTACGTCATTTAATAAAATACGTCATTTTTTAGAAGACGCCCTAGCATTAAATTTTTTTTTGAATTAAGCAGCCCAGCTTTTATAATTTTTATTAGAAAGTTGCAATTTATTACTAATTTAAATTAATATTTCAGTATTCGTTTCATTTTTTGTCTGATGGTTTTCATAAATTTAAAACAAATACTTTAGCTATTAAACTCATTTTATTAAAACTTTAAATTTTTTTAATAATTAAAGAAACTAAATTAAAGCATTTTTATCAAATATGAGTTTATGTTATGTAATATTTTTTGCGCCAAAGTTTTTCACTATTAAAGTGTTTATTTAAGTAATCATAGAAATAGATTTATCAAAAAATACATGAGGTATTTCTTAGAATATTATATATAATGACTTTTAAATAAATATTTCATATTTGTATAAAAGTAATAAAGTATAATATTCTTTGATAACTTAAATAAAATGGGTTTATTATAAACAATCATTAGAATTAATTTGTTACTTTATTCAATGAAGTAATCAGTAAACATAATTATATATGTATTTAATATATTTATAATAATTTACAAAGCATTTTGCATAGATTAGTATTTTTTAAAAAACGTAATATAAATATATATTTTCCTTTTTAAATTTAGCTTATTGAGTCTAGTTTATTGAGCTTTTTTTGATATCATTAGACTTTGATTGGTATTAAATCAATGATTGTTTGACTCTTTTGACTTTCAAATAAATATAAGTATTCATAAAAATATTATTTAATGTGCTAATTATATTGCTTTTTTTGACATATACCTCATAATCTATATAAAAAAATCTGTCCAAAATAATAATCCACTATTTCAAACTCCTTCAAAATTTTATTTCTCTTTAATTAAAACTTTGCACTTAATTGCAAACTATAATTATTTGAGATTTTTTATTTAAATTGTTATAAATATTTGAAAAATTTGCGTAAAATTAAAATAAAAAAATGAGTATCTAATTAACTACAATATTTCAGCAATAAAACAATTAAATTGACTGGAAAAATTATTAATAATATGTAAATGTAAAACCATAGTAACGAATAAACAAAACATATTAATTAGAGAAACTATAAAACATTTTAACACAACATATGCCACTTTGATCAGAATAATCAGCCGATATTAAAGATACAATACAATTCAAAATCTTCCATGTCCTGGAAGATTGAGCATTTCAAATAAAAGAAATAAACATTCACTTATTCACATAGTGATAAAAAATAGAAATTTTTCATCTACTGATCTCAGTCGAAAAGGACAAAAAGCTGCTGGTGTTATTGCTAGTGCTCAAACAATTAGAAAAGTACTACAAGAACACAATTACATGTGGTTGATTTAAGAAAAAAACCAATTAATGCTGAAAAGAAAGCCACATGAAAAAATGGACCCAAATTGTTCTATGTATGGAACAAAACATGGTAGTGATAGTATAGGCATCTGGGCCTATACTATCTCTACATGATGTATGAAGGTGTTGGTTGTTTCAAAATATTTGATGGAAGGCTTAATTCTCTAAGATAATTCGACATTTTCCCAAAAGACATAAGAATCTTCCAACAAAATAAAGCCCCAAACTGCTAAGATTTGCAAGCAAATGTTTGAAGAAAACAACACTAAAACCATGTCTTAGCCTGTCAATAGTCCAATTACATAAATAATTTTTAAAAAAATGGTCTGGGTTAAACTACAATCTTGGTAAAATTGAAATGAAAGATCTCGACCAGCCGAAAGAATTAGTATTAAAATTAATGAATAGTGTTCCAAAAGAGATTACTCAGAATTTAGTGAACTCCATGCCGAAATATATCAACCAATGCTTAAAAGCAAAAGGATTGTCAACAAAATATTAATTCTTTTTTTTTACGTTATGTAAGTATTTCTTTATAAAGGTTTGTTAATTTTGTTTTTGTGGTTTGTTTATTTTGGCCACTTTTTTTTTTTTTTGATACAAATGAACACTTATTTTAAATTCAATATTACAGTTTTTAATTTTCATTATTTCATAATAAATTTATATTGTGATTATTTGATTTATTTCAATAAAAAAAAATTTATGAAAAAATCACTTTCAGTTTATAATGTCAAACTTATATACATAATAAAATAATTGTTATTAATGACCAACACTGCATTTATATATATATATATATATATATATATATATATATATATATATATATATATATATATATATATATATATATATATATATATATATATATATATATATATATATATATATATATATATATATAGTATATATTACTGTTACCCACAGTATCAGGAATTAGCTAAATGCTAATATTTATAATATTATTTGCCAAATAATATTATAAATATTAGCATTTAGCTAATTCCTGATACTGCGGGTCACAGTAATATATACTATATAGCTCTAATTTATCTATTGAGCACTCTTTAAAATATACATTATTATACATGATAATATAAAGATACCATCCTTAATATTCACATATATACACTTACGTATATATATATATATATATATATATATATATATATATATATATATATATATATATATATATATATATATATATATATATATATATATATATATATATATATATACATATATATATATATATATATATGTGTGTGTATATTATATATATATATATATATATATATATATATATATATATATATATATATATATATATATATACAACCCTTGGAATTAGTGTCAGCCTAACTGCCGACCTAAAAGTGTTTGAATTTGGCAAAAAAATGCCAACACACACAAACTTATAAATCATTAACAATGCATAAATATTATAAAGATATACTCATGTGAAGGAACTGTTTTTAATGCTTCAATAGGAGATCTATCTATACGAACATCCTAAAATCAAAAAAACAAATTTTAAATGCTGTTACACATTTGTTTGTGTTTAATTAAAAAAAATATATCATACAATAATAAAAATAATTTAAATGTGATAAAAACAGCATAAATTATAAAAAACAATGTAAACTATAACAAAATCAATTATAATAACAGTATAAAATAATTAACATACATTTGGTCTTTTACGATATGTATCAACACAATTGACTCCTAATTTAAAAGTCTCTACACGACAACCTAAAAACCAAAGTATCCTTATAAAACAGCTTATAAATTTAACTTAAAAAAATAAAACAAGCTCATTTTACTTTTATTATTGTGCAAAGTGTAAAGATCATCCTGATCTTGAACATCTGAGATTATCTTATACAATTGTGGAGTGCATCAAACTGCAATGCATACAATAGTGGACTGCACACAAATAGGGACTGCACACAAGATAGGGACGGCACACAAGATAGGGACGGCACACAAGATAGGGACTGTACACGAGATAGCGACTGCACACAAGATAGGGGCAACACACAAGATAGGAACTGCACACAAGATAGGGAATGCACACAAGATAGGGAATGCACACAAGATAGGGAATGCACACAAGATAGGTACACAAGGGTTTCTTTTCTACTGTATTACATTTATTAATAATCTTAGAGCTCCCTGCAAATTACAAGCAAGCATTATTTAAGTTAGAAGTTACTTGATAACAAAGGATATTAAGAACAAGCAAGACAAGAGAGAATTCTAAAGCATTGATATGTGAGGAAAAAACTAGATAAATATAATCTCTATAGAGAATGAGGAAGAGATTAGATGTGAGAAGCAAGGGACAGATACAGTAAAGGAAGATTGCTGAATTTAATCCATAACTCAAAAAATTAGAAAAGTTTAAAAATGAAGCTATTTTTATTGCTATCTTTTTTGCACAGGATTAAAAAAATATAACTTAATCATTATTAATTTGTTTATTTTTATGTAAAACTATAAACATAAGGCACCATTTTTTCTGGACACAGCAAGTATTAAAAAATTGTAAAAAGTTGAACAAATTTTAAATATATTTCAGTCTAAAGTTACCACTGTTCTCTGTAATGATCCCCATGTTGAAAATCTCCCTACTTTTGACTTATTTGGATTAAATCAATCATGTGTAATAGTTAACACAATTAAGGTGCTAAATATTTATACTTTCAAAATAAAAATGTATAATTTGTTTTATTTTTCCTGAAATTTTATTAAATTTAGCCATTATGGTAGTCAAAAAAAGACATTACCATTCATTGATTTTAGTTACAAAATACACATCTAATAAAAATATTTATTAGATGTGTAATTTGTAACTAAAATAAAAATTAATGGCAACACAAATGATATTATTAATACTGTTTGTATTAATTTAGATTTACTACAGCAGATTTTGGCTTTTCTCCATAGTTTTTATGCCCCTTGGTTCACTTACAGTTTTTTTAAACTTGTGATGAAGAATTTTACCACATTTTTCTGTACAGTTACTGTATTATTATGCATAGTATAGGTAGTAAAAGTTTAAACTTTGTTTAGTTATTTAAGCTAATTTTAATAAATTTAAACAAGCTAAATTTAACAAAGAGAATACAAAAAGACAAAGCTGTAATAACTTTTATAGTTTTTATTTATTTTAATAAAAACACCTAGTACCCAGTTCCAAACACAGCTAATTTTACTAATGAAAACTTACACCAACAACTAATTATTGGTTTATAGAGAGCTACTACATACAATAGCTTCATAATAGTTTGGAATGAAATCTAATTTACTTTCTTTTTTTTTATAATTGATTTAGTTTTACTTGCTCTAACTGTAGAGAAGATTTCTGTCTCCAACAGAGAGATTTCCAGGAACATGAACTGTAGGAACATGAACTTCTATCTGTTTTCAATGTTTTTCATTTTTGATTTTATAAATCTAGAATATACTTGTTTTACATATTTATCTCTAAGTGATACCTATGACATCTTATATATCTGATATTTTTACTGACAATTTTTATGTCTATGAGATTGCTTATAGTTTTACATTTGCAACAATTAGTTTTTGTGAAATAATATCTATGACATCTCATGAGACATCTTATATATCTAATATTTTTACTGACATCTTTAATTATGTCTTTGAGATTGCTTATAGTTTTACATTTGCAACAATTGGTTTTCGTGAAATAATATTGGTTTTTGTGTAAAACCAATATTGATATTTCAATGCATAAATATGCACTTATACATAAATCTATAAAAATTTATAAAAAATTATAAAAATTATAAAAATATATAAAAATTATAAAAATTAGTTAAGCACTCTCCAGCAGCAATCAAAAAAATTTAAGGAAAATAAAAATTTTAAGTATTCCTTTGAAAACATAACCTATAAAAGCCTAAAAATATACCTTTTTAAAACAGAGTTTATTTGTATTTATGTAATTTCTTATATGGGGGATAAAAATGGGCTGTGTATGCTTATAGACACAGAGAAAATATAAAGAGCTGAAAAGTACATAAGAATGTACTGAGTCAGATATTAAATACAGTGTAAAAAAAAGTTCTTAAAAAAAAAAATTTGGGATCAATGATCTGTATCAGCTAGAGAAACATCAAATCAAACAATCAACTCATAATATAAGCAATCAACTCATAATATAAATAAAAAAATAACAGGTTGTAAAAAAAATTTTTAGTTTTATTCCCTCTTGTAGTAAAATTAGTCTAATATGTTGTTTCATTGATTATACAGAACATATAAAACTAAATCTTTTTTTTTTTAATATATACATAATATTTACACAAAAAGGTCAATTATTGATTAGGCAAATTATTAATTATGATTAAGCAATTAATTCATGTTAAAATATATTCTCTATTATAATCTCTAACCAGTTAAAAAGATACGCAGTTTCTTTTTTGTTTAGACTAAGTTAATTTCTTTTGCGGTTGGAACAAGCTAACTAAAGGACAAACTCCAAGACCAGAATCAACTTTTGACCAAATGTATTCTTAAACTTTTTCACGTACTGAGGGAGTTAGAGGTCTTAGAGATTTAGACATTATACTTCTTTTGCCAAGTAAATTACACAAGTACATAATTCAAGTCCTATATTGAAAAATGATAACTATATCTGGAAAGCAGCCACAAAGCTTAATTTTTAACTATCATAATGGTTGACTTAAATAAAACTTTTTTTTTTTTTAAAAATGATAAATTTTAATTTTGAAAATATATATATTTAACACTTAGTTCAGATTTTTTTGACAACAAAAGTTGTGTTTACGAATACGTATTGATTAAATGCAAAAAAATCTAAACAATGTAAATATTAAAAATAAGAAACATGACAAGACCACGGTCACAAGCACAGCAGGTAGAAACAAAATTGTTTGAACAACAAACTTTTGCACATTCAAACTAGAATATTTTAGGTTTCAGCTTTAAAAATCATTTTTCTAGTAAAAAAAAAAAATAAAATAAAATACTACATGCAAAATGAAAATACCACATACAAACTTAAAAATATGGCAGCCATTCTAAAATAATAAAAATTTATTTTTATATTTTAAATATGGAGTCAATTAGAGAAATTAATCACTCAAATTAAAAAGCAAAATTAGTTGAAAAGAAGAGTTTAAAATATATTTGTCAAACTTAATTATCCTTAAATTTTGAGATGAAAAAAATTATAATCTGATTGGGAGTTATTCAAATTTACTTGAGAATAATTTTTTTAATTTGCATATGTTACTTTCTCTTACGTTTTTAGAAAGAAAAAAAATTATTTATTGTTATTAATTTATAAAATATTGTTATTTCAACATCCATTCATTTTCATCCCATTACCTCCATATTTATTAACTTTTTTTTTTTAAACTTTTAAATTTCTTGACAAAATAATTTTTTTTTAAGATAACTTTTTAGTTCTATTGCCCTGAAAGTATTATGTGAAAAAGATTAAAATTAAACCAGGAGGATATCAAAGATGCCTGCTAGATAAAAATTATACCAGGAGGATATCAAAGATGCCTGCTAGATAAAAATTATACCAGGAGGATATCAAAGATGGCTGCTAGATAAAAATTATACCAGGAGGATATCAAAGATGGCTGCTAGATAAAAATTATACCAGGAGGATATCAAAGATGGCTGCTAGATAAAAATTATACCAGGAGGATATCAAAGATAGCTGCTAGATAAAAATTATACCAGGAGGATATCAAAGATGGCTGCTAGATAAAAATTATACCAGGAGGATATCAAAGATGGCTGCTAGATAAAAATTAAAAAATTAAACCAGGAGAGTACCAATCATGCTTGCAAAATAAAAAAAATTTTGGCAAAATAAATATAATTTTTAAAATTCGTTTTTAAATAAAAAATGATTAAAATGTCTTTAATGTTTAATTAAACTAACAACAATAAAGTTAGAAAACTAACTTTATTGAATTTACATACCATAAGCAACAGGTGTAAGCTTGTAAACAGTATGAAGAGGAACATTTAGATAAGGTATGTCATTTGCTTTTGTATCCAAAAAATAAGATAGTAAACAACGCATAACAGCCTATTAAAAACCATGTTTAAGTAAAAATGATCATCAAAATGTTTAAAAACCTTTTAAAAACTTAATAAACATTTAAAAAAAGCTTATATTTTTGTAGTGGTTATTACTATTATTTTTATTTTGTACAAGTAATAACAATAATAATAATAAAAATAATAATAATAATAACAATAATAATAGTAGTAATAATAATAACAACAACAATAATAATAACAATAATAACAACAATAATAATAGTAATAATATTATTTTTAAAATAGTAAAAAGAATTATAATAATACCATTAATATAGAGATATATTAAAATAGTTTTTACTTGGTGACAAACTGCTAAAACATTGTGCTGTCTTTCTAATTCCATTATAACTGGCTCAAGTCGAGATACAACATCTTCATAAGACTAAAGATAACCTTTGTTTAACTAAAACCTTGACAAGCAACAATACAACTAATATGTATAAATAATTTTAATTAACATATTTATAAAACCAATTTAACATATAAGTCATTTATCAAAAAGTCACTTATTCGATGAGACAAAATTTTGAAAACCACTTTTATATTTGACTTGTAACATAAAAAGCGTAACATAAAAAGCATGCCTTTTTCTAGTGTAGAATACTTATATAGAAAATCAAATTTTACTATGGTTACCTCCCCTCTTGGATATCTATAGTGATATTTATCTTGATCTCTACGAGCAAAATCTTCTGGGTATTTTTCTTGTATCTCCTCATAAGTCATATTGTCACATATACCCTGAAATAAAACAATATCATATTGTCACATATAGCCTGATATAAAACAATATTATATTGTCACATATACCCTAAAATAAAACAATACTATATTGTCATGTATACCCTGAAATAAAACAACATCATATTGTCACATATACCCTGAAATATAATAATATCATAACAATAAATTGTTTTACACTTTAAAGAGAATAATACTAATAAATGATTTTCAAAAACTCATTTATTAGAATTATTCTCATTCTTAGTATATTACAAACATTTAAATATAAAAATATGATAAGTTCAGTACTGATATCAAATAAACTAAAAACATACTGCATCTAATTCATCCAGTGCTGGCCATTGTTCTTTATTAACAGCATCAATAAGCTCAGCAGTTTCTATTGTTCTTTTTAAAGTACTGGTCCAAACCTAATAAATTCAGAAAACTATATTAGAATGTTTTTGCTTCATAAGAAAAGGCTTTTCTAAATTCAAAGTTGGGCAACAATAAATAATGCAGCTCCTGGAACTAGAAAGGTTGGCAATTCATTGCTATTTTTGGTCGGCACAAACTTTTTAATGTAATGGTTTAACCATAGCAACATAGAAATGAAAAAAATTCGGCAAAAAAATTATGACTTTAGACACTTTTAGGTTAGCAGTTAGGCTTACATTACCAAATGATAACCTTAATTCTGAGAGCTAAATAAAGTAATCCTTAAAAAGTGTGATAAAATTAAAACTACTAAAATTAGCAATCATACCTTTAGGTCACGAATGTTTTGAGAACTTATGAAATCTCTTAACTTCTTGCTATACTATATATTAAAAAAATTTTAAATATATAAACAATTAAATAACTTTAATAATTTAATTGGTAACATGATTAAAGTGACTGGCGGTTTTAACATACAGTTGAATTTTATGAAATGTTAAGTAAAAAGTATCGAACTGCATAGCAAACCTCTTCTCCATGCAAACTCACCTCTTTTCCACTATTAGAAAGACTTGAGTCACCACCAATTCTACCTGATAAATTCAACAAACTCTCACCATGCTAAAATATTTATTTTTCAAGGTAAATATAAGGATTAGCATAATTACACTAATGTTTAATGAAACTATAAAAAATACTAATAGACGAGATAATAAGCAATAATGTAAACATAATGCAGTAAAAAATGTATAAATACACACCCTAGTTAAATAAATTGATCGTGGAGCAATGTGAATATTCATCAGGAAATAAACAGCTCTTGTTTGTAAGTAACCTTAAAATATAACATTATTACACACAAAAAAAAACCAAAACCTTTTTTTACAGGAAACCAAGAAACCTGTTACAATGAAAAAAAAAAACTTAGCTAAATGACAAGCCATGTAAGATAGTGTTTTAGAAAAGTGTGGTCAAGCCATGCAGGATTGTATTGTTAGGAAGAATGTGATCATTAGATTTATCAGATGAATTAAAGAAAACTTTCTTTGCAAATTTGTCTTTTCTTTGCGAATGTTGTCTTATGATTAGGAAATTATAAATTTTTCTTTATTTAACTGATAAATTTTTTTCTGAATTACCTTAATTACGATTGCAGAGATGTCTTCAATAGTTAAAGAGTTCCTTTTGTTTTTCTTGTAGATATTACACTGCTTGTAATAGTCAGATAATTGATAAATATCATAGCGCTTGGGGGTATTTGTTTTATGATAAAAACTTATCAATATTGTTGTATGAGATGAAATATGCTATTGTTGTATGAGATGAAATATGCTATTGTTGTATGAGATGAAATATGCTATTGTTGTATGAGATGAAATATGCTATTGTTGTATGAGATGAAATATGCTATTGTTGTATGAGATGAAATATGCTATTGTTGTATGAGATGAAATATGCTATTATTGTATGAGATGTTTGTTTTTTGAACCTTTTAAAGATTTTTCAAAAGACTCAAGAAGATAACTTCTGTTAAAAAAAAGGTTTAGGAATCTGAGAATGATACTTAGTGTCAAACAATATCTTTTTGCATCAATTTCCTAAAGTTCATAGACTTTAAGACTGACTTGGATTCCTATTATGATTTTCTTTGCGATGGTCCTTAAATTCATATCTTTTGTCCCTATGCTAAAAACCACTCTTACTGCATAATCTCTTTGATTGCAGCAGCAATGTAAACTTTTATTACTTCTTGTTGTTCTCAAATCATGTTTTGCTCTACCTCATGGTTTTCTTCTTTTGCAGCGGTTATTTTCAAATAGAATCTTTTTCCACCATAACAACTCCCTTGACAACACTGTTTTTTTTTTGCAAGAAAATGATGCAAAAACAAATTGATGCAAATTGTATATGACTTTTTTTAATGCAAATTGTTGCAAAATATTATTCCAATACCTTTTTGCATTAAAAATCTAGTAAGTCTGGTTCCCAGAATACTAAATCTTATTTTTATCTGAGATGTTAGTCTCCCGAGATTTTTCGAAAATCATTAATAAATATTAAATCAAGGTTAAGGTTAATCTATCAATTAAGCTGTTTAAAGCTTTTCTTTACAGACATGTTAAATAGCACAGAACAAATAATCAGTGCATAAAAAATAAATTTAAAAAATCAAAGTTTTTTGATTAAGATTGAAAAAATGATGAGTTTTCACTGATACCTTTTATGCATAATAACTCAATAATTACCTAATTTTTTCTAGTTACAAACCAGCAAAAATTATGTCTTTAAACACCTTTTTTATTTACTAACTAATAAAAAAGTTAATTAAGTTCAATAATAACTTTATTAAAAACAAATTACAACACAATGTAAGCCAGGTAGTACCTATCAATTATGACAATAAATTAGCAAAAAATAAATGATGAATTCAAAATGTTTTTACAGATCTACTGTACCAGGTAATAAAATTGAAATTAAAAGTTGGACTACTTCTGAAATTATGCTCAAACTTTTTTTTCTGTAACTACTGATAAATAGATCTGAAACACCTTTTTTACACATCCTTAAGTTGATTTTTTTGAGTATTTGTGAAAAAACAATGCAAAATATAAGAATCATTTAACTTTTATTTTATTCAAGAATCATTTAATTAAGATTTCACAAAAACTTTTCAAAAAAAACTTTTTAAACAAAAAAAGTTTTGAAAATAAACGATTCTTGAAACTTGTAATGTTTTTTTTTTTCAGTGAATTAACTGGGGTGACTATTTATATTTTATATATATTATATTTTTTAAATATACATTTCATATTACTATTCAACTTCTTTTACTTCTTTGTCTGAAAAATTGTCTGAAACATTTTTTTGTCAATGTATATATACTTAGTCAAAAAATTTATAATTTTATGCACTTTAAATTTTGAGCCACTTTAATATAAATACTGGCTGTACTTGCGTTAGTTATTAACAATCTGTGACAACAGGTTGTCATTATTAATTTATTATAGCTTTGCTACATTTTGAAATTTAATGTCTGTGACAGGTGTACATACATAAAATAATTTGTATAATAATAGACGCTATAATGCCTACAAACACCAATTAAGGTTTGAAAAATTATCATGGTAACATACAAACTGTACTAGGAAAGTTAAATAATAAAAATTAATAAACTGAAATAATTCATAATTTGCTTTAAAGTTCTTTAAATTGTTTAAAACATCTATTTATATGATTGCTTATTTTAATATCTTAATCCTCACCACATCATTCTAAAAATATAAATATATTATTTAAATTCTGAAAAATTTTTTCAAGTTCCTTTGTTAATCCAATTATATCTTTGGATAAAAAAGTATTGCATAACAAAATAAAACTTAAAAAAATATAAATTAAAAAACCTTTTAAAAACATTTAAACAAGGGTTGTTGTGTTGCTAGAAAACTTTTCAATACAATGTAAAATAACATTTTAATACAAAAAAATAAAAACTTCAGTTAAAATTTTCATAAAAAATTATATTGAGTTGAATAAAAAACATACCAGAAATTAAATTCACCAAAAATTTCTTTCCAACATTTATAACTTTAATAAATGATAAATGCCTAACAAATAAATAGTTAAACCAAAATAGTGATGCATGTTTAAATAATGTATATTTTCAACTATTAAAAAGAATGGTAAATCTTTATTATTTTTATATTTTATAAAGTATTCAGATTTCAAATGGAACTCACCCCTCTAAATCAAGATCCAATGTTTCGTATAATGCTTCATAATGATGAATTCTTGATATAAAGTCATTATATACTTCACGCTCATCAACTCCTACGTAATCTGGGGATGAAACTTTTACTTCCTTAAATTTTAAAGTATTAAGAATTTTAATACATTTTAATCAAAACTAAATAATTTAGATTAACAAAAAAGTGAACAAACCATAATATTTTGATAAATAACATCACGATCATCACATATTGACTCAATAAAGAAGCTCTAAACAAATTTAAACATAAATATACATATATATATATATATATATATATATATATATATATATATAATATTTATATATACTATATCATAAGTTGCTGCATTTGAATTGCCGCATTTTAAAACGTTGCTTTAGCATCTGAATTTGCTCCATTTTAAATGCTGCATTTGAGTTGACACGTTAAATCTACAATAAATATTGTTTATAAACTATTGATAGCTTTGAGTTCTTTATCGATGGCTAAACGAACACATAAAAATAGTCAAAGTTACAAACTAAGTGTTATGATTGGTTTTGCAAGTGAGTTTTTAGATTCTGAGTTACCCACATTAAGAGATGTTATAAAGTATGGACTGCTTCTAAGAAGAGATGAAAACTGCAAAGCAAATGCAAAACTTAAAGATACATGCAAAAAGGTTTTCTATAAAGTGAAAACACAATGGTTGAAAGCGAATCCTGAAATTCCTATTGTGATGGACAAAGTGGGTGTTAATAAAATAATAAAAGTATGGAAAAAAGCTACCAATATTAACTACAGGTGTAAAAAACCTGAAATTATTTCTAAGTTTAACTTTACTCTGCACAAGCTATTTGTTTAAGAATTACAACTAGCCTCCTCACAAAAAACATTGTTTCTTGTGAGGAGGCTAGTTGTAATTCTTGTAATTTTAAAGCGCATATTTCTTGTCAATGCAATAGAGAAAACAAAATTCCTTCAATAGAACTTCAGTTTATGAAATTTTAAAGAGAAAAATTTGGAACAAAAAGTAGTATGCAAATGGGTGCTTCGGATTTTAAAGAAACCAATAGACAAGAAAAAAATAATAAAAGAAAGGGCACTGGAAAAAAGAAGCCACAAATAGAATACCTATCTTTTCGTTCTCAAGAAAATGAAATCAAAGAAACAATTGATAATATTGCGAATACTGACAATGAAGATGTTGTTTCTGACAATAGTTTTGAGTACATTAGTAGACAAGTTTCGAAAAAGACATTGAATATGGAAGAAGTTGAATTAGCATCAATAAGATATGGGGTATCAAATCGAGCAACTGCTGCTATTTCAACATTAGCACTGAAAGCAGTTAAAGAGGCAGACTTTCTTAAAAAGAAAGTGTTTTACAGTGAAATAGTGACAGATCATAAGAAAATTGAAAGATCTAAATTGAAGGTGATGAAACAATTAAAATCTGAAAATGATAATGTTGTAAAAGATGGAGTTCAATGCATTTTATTTGATGGAAGAAAGGATGAGACAAAATGTTCTTTGATGGGAGAAGATGGAAAATTTCCCCACAGATTTGCTCAAGAAGACCATTATTCGGTTTGTGCAGAGCCAGGTGGTTTATATCTGTACCATTTTACAAATGATAAAGAAAACAGATCTGAGTGTAATACCCCAGCAGAGCACATAGCAGAACATATATATAAATGGATTATTGAACACGGGGTAGAATCAACTCTAGCTGTGATTCTACCAATCTTAATACAGGTAAATGATTGATAATATTTGCAGTGAATAAAATACTTTCAATAAGGAGTTCGAGCTCCCTAGGAATTACTGCTGTTAGACCAAGAAATATCCCAAATATAAATACTAATGCTGAAACTATTATCAAATTGATTGATTGGAGTAATGATATTTATGAACCTTAGCTCACATGCAAGATTGGTAAAGAAGAACTTATTAAGTTTTTAGAAGTCCAAATGGAAGTTCCAGAATTTCCTGTACATGGACAATCCATAGAAAGAATTGTGAAAGAAGTTACAAGAGCTTCTAGTATAGTTTATGGACAGAAAAGACGAGACGGATTTATAAAGGCAACAATAGCTTACAGAGAACTTCTTCCTGTTTTAGAATCTAAACAGAATTTGCTTAAGCTTTTTTATAGTATATTTATTTATATTTATTGTATATTTAGAAAAATTAAGTTTACTCTTGCATTGTGAATGATAAATTGGTAAATACTGCTATAAACAATAATTAATGATTTTTCATGTTTCTAATTGGTTGTGCCTCGCTTTGTGGTTGAGAAATCCTTTGAAACTGTTTTGCTGCATTACATTCATATAACATTGTTATGGAAGATATTACAGCAAAATATATCAAAAATAACGATTTTTTTCAACTTTTATAATTATAAGTTTTTAAGCTAAAATGATTATCTAGGTGTCTAATTAGGGGTATTTGGGAACAAGGATTCCATAAAAGACATTTTTATGGAATCCTTGAAATCAATCCCAAAACCTCAATTTTTTAGGTCAAAATTTGAAAACCTAAAAATAAAAATTTTTTAGTTTTTTAGATTACTTTTATATAAGGGTCAAGACATTTAAAAATCATATTGTCTAAGCATTTATTGGGAAAATTTGAAAAATGACCCGCCCTAATATACATACATATATACATATATATACATATATATATATATATATATATATATATATATATATATATATATATATATATATATATATATATATATATATATATATATATATATATATATATATATATATATACACATACTAAAACGATACTTTTTTTTTTTAACGAAATCGGTGATTTTTTTACAGAAAATTGTTTTTTGTTTTGGCAAATATTGTATATTTTAAGGGAAATATCATTACATATCATTTTTTCCGAAATGAACATTATTTTTGAAATTTTTTATATAATTTCGGTTCATTTGAGAACCAGGTTGACATAATTTTCAAAAACTTTTTTTTTTGAAAATATTAGGGACCCATTAAATATTCGAGGGTCTTGAGAGACCCTTTAAATTATTTTTTATTGAAAAAAAATTTAAACTTAGTGTTTTTGTATTAGATAGAACACATTAAGGGGGTGAGAGCAGATTATTTTTTAAAAAGTTGTTTTTTGGGACACCCTAATATATATATATATATATATATATATATATATATATATATATATATATATATATATATATATATATATATATATATTTATATATTTATATATTTATATATTTATATATTTATATATATATATATTTATTTTTATATATATATATATATATATATATATATATATATATATATATATATATATTTACATATATATGATTTTTATTTATAGAATTTATATAATGATATATATTATTAAGTTTATCAGCAAGCAAGATATCTTTTTTCATTTACAATATTTACAATTTATTTTGTAACTTAATTATTGTTCATGTTATTAACATCTACAGTTTATTTTTTAACTTTAATATTGTTTATTTTTGAGTATATTAAAAAAAAAAATTATTTATTTATTTTGTTTATTTTTCTAAAACATGATTTTTTTTTCAAAAAATAAAAAAGTGATTTTATCTTTAATATGTTAAAATGCTTTTAAAAAAAGCATATTAATGTATAAAAAATAAAATCACTTTACATACTTTAAAAAAAGTTTACTTAACAAAATTGATTTGAATGCTACTTCAACTTCGTAAAGAGCATACCCACAAAAAGAATGTAAGATGAGAAATAATTTTTTGGGGTTTTTAATTTTTTTTGTAAACTAATTAGTTTTTTTGTTCAAATCTGAAAATTTTATACATAAAAGTAGAAAATTATTTTTCGTAAGTTTAAACAACTTAATATTTAATAAAATAAAGTCAAGAAAAATCTCTAAGTTGTAATTGTATAAAAGCCTTATTTTAACATTTTCACTATTATATACTAGTGCTTATTTTAATTTAAATATTATTTTCATGTTAAAAAAAAAATAACTAGACATAACTTGTTCATTTATTTTTGGTGCTCATACAAGCATAGTTATCCTTGTTTACCTATACAATTACATGAATTACAATAAGGGATTGTCCATAAAATATGTATGCTTGGATAGAGGAGAGGGGGTCTCCAAATGCAGTAGTGGTGTAGTGGTAGAGCGCTTGCTTCATAATCGAGAGGTTCTGAGTTTGATCTCTACCACGTCCCTGGTAGTACCGTGCTCAACTCGTTTCTCCACACAGCGGCCTTGTTTGTCAAGGTTCATGTTTCAGAGTTATAGAGTTGAGAGAAGGTTATAACCACAAATAAGTAGCCATGAGATAAGGGGGAAAGGGGGCAATTATAAAAGTAAGAAGACACTAAATTAAAAAAATATCATAAAATATTGGGTAGGTTAAAAATGTAGGTACTTTTAGAGAGGTCTCAAAAAAGCGTATAATAAAAATGAAAGCAAATGTACTATACCTCTAAACAAAAAATATATACAAACTAGTAAAGGAAATAATAAATGAAGAAAAAATTTAGAAAAGCGTTTTGTCTGTTTAAAAAAAAAATGTTTGTACTAAGTTAATAAATACTATTATTAACAAGTACTTAAATAGGATAAATACTTGAAAAAATATTTATTTGAGTTAAAAGCAACAATTAAAACCCAGTCTATTGTTGAAATAGCACTAAATTGATTTTCAAAACACTTTTTACTCTTTTTAAAATTTATTTTGAAAACTCTCTTGAAATTTACCTTAATACCAGCATCAAGACATCGATTGTGCACATACACTCTTCGCTCTCGCGTGGTATTTGTTGCATCAAGAATCTAAATTTAAAAAACCAATGCTAAAAAAAGACTAACATAAAGTATGACATAGAATACTATCTACCATGAAATTTTTAGTTTTTAGTTAAATAAAATAAATTAACAATAATATTTAAAATTAAAAAAAATAAACGAGTAAGGAAAAAACTGATATAAAAATTATTTTACACTTTTGAAAGTAAAATATAATTAAACTAACTGCAACTTGTCCATCTTGATTTTTTAGAAAATCTTCGACATCTGCTAAAGCTAACTCAACACAACGCCTATAAAATAATATTATTAATAATTACATAAAAAAAGGTAAGAACTTCAGTAATTTAAAAAATCAGCTTGTGTAGTGGTGCTATAGCAGCAGAGGCTTGTTCCAAGTTGATATATAAAATGTCACTGGTTGTATGCGCTTGAATATTTTCTCAGGTTTTGTTTGCCAAAGTTCATATTTTGAAGTTAAAGCATTGAGAACTATAATCATATTTAAAAAGAATAGCCTCCTTGATTGTAATGCCATCCTTAGCCTTGGGTAAGTGAATAATAAAAACCTGTTATGATGAACAGTATATTCTTAAACAACAATTTTAATAATTTGTTTCATTAGTTTTCAAAATGATAAACAAGTTAAAGAACTTGAAAGATATTTATCAATTTAAACTTTCAGTAATTACCCCATACTTAGAATAAAAACAAAATGCTTCAGAAAATTTAGTCATCCTATTCTTGCTTAAGAAAATCCAACACTTTCTAGTACTAATATATATTTGACTAAATGAACTAAACTAAGTAAAACTATTTAATTTTTTACTAAAAGGTAAGTACTAAATAAATTAGTCATCATACCTCCCATTTTACTATAAATTTGTTACCATTATAAAGGTTGATTGACTTTTATTGAAAAATCAATATAAGTTCTTTTATTACTGAAGCATTTAAAGATCCACATATAAACTCGTAAGATGAATAAAATGTTATATTCATAGCAAGATGCCTAGTATATCTTTCAGCTCTGTTAATATCTGTTTAAGAAACTTTAATGGAAAGCCCAGCAATCTTTTGATTATTCTTTTGACATAAAAATAATTTTTTATAGATACTTCATAATAAATATAGATACTTCATAGATATAGATACTTCATAACATTAAAAATAATATACCATTTTTAAAGATACCTCATAGACCTTAAAAAGTCTTAAAACTCAGTCTTAAAACATAGGACCAGTCTACTAAAAATTAGTCTATTTAAAACTGGTCTACTTAGAACTCAGTCTACCTAGAACTACAGTTCAGTCAAAAACCTTTATTTTCATTCAAATAGAAGAAAATTTAAAAATATTTTAAATTTTATGTTTAAAAAGGTTTCTTGTTATTGCCTTATATTTTTTAGCATTCCAAATTATTAAAAATAAAGATTGTTAAAACATGTTAAGAAAAAATACTTACATGCGTGCTTCATGACCACTGATATTTGATGGATCAAAGAAGTCATGCTTACAGTTTACTGTACCATACAACTTTCTTCTGTATTCGCCAGCATTAAAAACTATAAGTAATACAATAAATTGCAGTTAGTTTGACAATTTTACTTATAAAAAATTAGATATAACAAAATTTATATTTTGTTATATCTAATTTTTCCATAAGTAAAATACCACTTACTTCACCACTTGCTCCACGAAAAATAATTTTTTATGCAAATATTATATATAAATAAACTTTTTTTTTTAATAAAAAACAAATTTTAGACCTTAGAAAAACTAACTTTTTTATTTTTGATAAAAATGATATTTTTTATGCAATCAAATCTTTAGAAATCTTCCTAAGAAAAAATATTATTATCAAAATTTATGTAAATTTGATTTTCTGAGACCCAAGTTAATATACTTTTGAGGATATTCTTTTAAGAATATTATGGGTCTGTGAAGTGTAGCAATGAACAACCCCATAAAATAATTTATATAAGCGAATATAGCATCGTTTTGTTATACAGTTCATATTTAAAGGTTGGAGAACACCAATTAAAATAAGACACTTGAACCACTCTACTTTATACGGGGTGTTTCTCTTTGATCCATCACTTAAAAACTTAACTTTTTAATTATGGATTTTTTTAAACCTACTGGGTTAGGGTGTATCTATTTTTATTGCAAAGCAATCTTTAAGCTTTTAAAATTTTAATACCCTTTTAAAATTAACCTTAGGAATTTGACTTAAATAAAAATATTCAAGTTATTTTAAATATGTTTGAAATAACTTGAATCAGGTTATAAAAATATTCAAGTTATTTTAATTATCTTTGAAATAACTTGAATCAGGTTATAAAAATATTCAAGTTATTTTAATTATCTTTGAAATAACTTGAATAAGGTTACAAAAAACAACAAATAAAATGAACAAATGATATGTAAAAATAACTTATCAATATAACTAGAATATTCAGGTCTCGGCAGGAAGCCGAGGAGCTTTAGCTCTTACTCTCGCCCACATTCCCCTAAAACGGTTTACGGGAGCAATTTACGGCTCTCGCAAAAGTATAACTTTTCTCATGAAAGTATAATTATTGTTAAAACTAAAACACAATGTCATTTTAAAAAAATTAATAGCATAATATACTGTAATTGTTTTTAAAAAGCACGGTAGTTTAAAAAAAAAAAAATTAAAATTAAAAAAGAGCGCCGATTTAAATAAGGAGTAATTTGCAGAGCTCACCAACTTTGCTTTAGGAAAGCTTTTCTCTGCTCTCGTGCTTATTTTTCTCACCAAGGCCTGATTCTATATTTAATACTTTATCATCATGAATTTAGATAATGAAAATATATTATAAGTGCTATATAGCTTTATAATACCAAATTATAGTAGTTCTTGTTGTTGATTATTATTTTTACTATACATAAATAATCAACACTATATATGACATACTATTTATATTTAATATAATTTGTAATATATATATATTGCTTTATCTCTTCCTTAATGTCATATTTAAATAAGAAAATACCATTATGGAAACCACATAAGTGTGAAACTACAAACATTAAACTTTTGATTTCTAAATAAGTTTTTTAACAACAAGCCAAAGAAGGTAACTCTGCCAGTAATATAAATCATATATCTGATAGTGATTTAAATCATATATTTGTTAGTAATATAAATCATATATCTGCTAATAATATAATCATATATAATACTTTTAACTTCTTTTAACTTTTAATCATTTATAATTTATAATTTAACTTATAATTTTTAATTTAACTAAAAATAATTTATAACTATTAAAAAAATAATTTATAATTTAACTTATAATTTTTAATTCTTTCAACTTATTTTAATAATCTGCTTCATGTCCTGCTGCCTTGTAGGATACACCTTTTTAGGCAAATGCTAGGAAATGCCAACTCTGACATAAAACACCCGTTGCCTGTGGGCTCTTGGTTGAGTAAAGGCTAGAGATAGTGTCTCGATAAAAAAACTCATCTTGGGCAGATATTAAATGCATCTGGCTGCTGTCTTGTAGAAGGCCTCCTAGGCAAAGACTTAAGGGGTGAACAGATTCTATCTGTTGACCAGTCTCACACCCCTTCTTCATCTATTAGGCTGGCGCAGATATATTCTTAATACATTGCTTCCAGATTAGGATGTTGAATGCTTGATCTTCTTGACTCAATGCATGGGTTTTGCTTTTGTCTCTGTTCTTATGACTAGGCAACTCATTCTATTATCTCCTAATGAGGGTACAGCTCTAAAATTCAGTTTTATGGTTCTGAGGCCGGCTGGTAGTCAGGTTTCCAGAACTCTGTGGTAGCTCTCAAAGAGGCTGATTCCATCAACAGCTGAAAAATATCAAAGTATTAACAGTGCCATGTTGCGCATGGATGGTGTCCTTGTTTGTACTTTTGGTGTGCATTGCAGAGGCCACATTGGAGTCCTTTGTTACGGCTCAGGGTTTATTAATAGTAATGAGGCAATTGCTTGGGCTAATAAACAGTCTACTAAGTACTATCTATGTTTCGAGTCAAGTTCTTTAACAAATTTGAAAATGAATAAAGTAACAAAAACTATAAAACATAAAAAAACCATGATCATCACTAAGTCCTCTAAACCTATCATTCACTAATATTCGTGGTTTTCAAAGTAACTTTTCTTCTGTTGAGTATTATCTCTTGCAAAGTTCATTAGACCTACTTGCTTTTTGTGAGATTAATTTGAGTTCAGCTGTCTCATCTTGTGATCTTAGTTTTGATGGCTAACTTCCTTTAATTCGTAAAGACTCCAATAGTCACATGCTTGGCCTGGGCATTTACATTTGTAAGAATTCACCCATTTGTCGGGAAATTAGGTTTGAATCCGCAGACTACTCTTTTATGTGCTTGCATTTAGCACCACTTCACTCTATCACCTTTCTCTTTGTTCTATATCGCTTTCCTTCATCTCAAGTCTGCACTCTTCTTAATGTTATTTCTGATCATATTGACCAAGCCCATTCTCTTTATCCATCAGCCAATATTGTTATTGTCGGTAACTTTAATATTTATCACACAGAATGGCTTGGCTATAGTGTCAGTGACTCTGCAGGCATTAAAGCCCACAACTTTTGCCTTTCTCAATCCCTAACTCAAATAGTCAACTTTCCAACTCGCTTTCCAGACAACCCCATTCATTTACCTTCTCTACTCGACTTATGTCTTGTTTCTGATCCTAGTCAGTGCTCCGTTTCTCCAAATTCACCCTTAGGTGCCTCTGATCACAGTTTGATCTCTCTAAAACTATTATCTCATTCTTCTTTATCATTAGAATCCCCCTATCATCTTACATCTTACAACTTCCTTAAAGCTGACTGGGACTCTTTCGTGATTTTCTTCGTGACGGCCCTTGGGTAGAAATCTTTTGTCTTCCTGTTGACAAATGTGCTTCTTACATAACTTCGTGGATTCAGGCATATTCTGGCAGATTCTGGCATGGATTCCTTTATTCCCTCTCGACGATTCCAGGTCAAGCCTCACTCTTCTCGAAGGTTTTCCTCATATTGTGCTGCTGCAATTCCCAATCAAAACTATTACTTCCATATCTATCAGCAAAACAATTCTCCAGAAAACAGACGTCTGTTTATTACTGCTAGGAACAATTGTAAAAAGGTTTTGCTTAATGCCAAAGCCCATTATTCTCAGGTCATGAAATCACGTATTTCATCACAAAAATTAGGCTCTCGTGACGTCTGGAGAATCTTTAATAGTATCAATAATCAGAGTAAGTCTGTAATTTCACCTCTTTTGTATGGTTCAGACTTTGTCACCTCACCTAAAGACAAAGCTGAATTGTTTGCTGAGAACTTTTCATCAATATCACCACTTGATTCCACAGTTGCGTTCTACCTGATATAGCCGTCAAACAGGTTGATCCATTGCTTGACATTAGTATCACTCCAACTTCTGTATCTAAAGTGATTTCCTGCTTAGACTCTTATACAGCTTGCGGCCCAGACAACATACCTGTTATAGTCTTGCAGAAGTGTTCTCTGGAGCTGTCATCTATTCTTTCAAAACTATTCAACAAGTGCTTATCAGAATCTTGTTTTCCAGTCTGCTGGAAAGCAGCATCTGCTATCCCTATTTTTAAAAATTCTGGAGAGCGATCAGATTCGTCAAACTACCATCCCATTAGTCTTCTTCCTATCATAAGCAAGGTTTTTGAATCTTTAATTAACAAACACTTAATCTCTTATCTTGAATCTAATAACTTACTTTCTGATCATCAATATGGATTTCGATCTTAAATAATAAATAAAACAAATCTCAAATCCAACGTTGTATGAAATACTGTTGCCATATCTAGGGCGGATCTTCTAATAATGCCCTTTCTCTTTTAGACAAGGTGCAAAAACGCATTGTAAACATAGTTGGACTTGCTCTTGCAGCCAATCTTCAACCATTATCACATCATAATGTTGCTTCTCTTTCTCTTTTTTGCAAATACTATAATGAGCACTGATCTAAAGAGCTAGCGTCTCATATCGTACCATCTACTAAAATTCACTTTTGTGTTACTCTGCATTCAATTAAGTCTCTTCTTTTTTCTGTTACTCTTCCTAAGTGCTCCAAAAACTCTTATTCCTCTAGTTTTTTTCCTCAAACATCAGTTCTTTGGAATTGGCTTCCTTCATCTTGCTTTTCTAATTCATATAATTTGCAATCTTTTAAGTCGCCTGTCAATTGTTATCTTGCTCTACAATCTTCACCTTTTCTCTTCCAGTAACTTCCAACACTAATTAGTGGTTGCTTGCACCCTTGTTGGAAGCGAAGATGTTTAAAAAAAAAAAAAAAGTTTTTTTTTCTCTTTTTATTTTGATTTGTTTTAAAATTTTAAACCTGTCAATATACTTCTCTCCCAAATATTAAATTGTATCAGTCTTTTAAGTATTACTTTATAATATTTATAAAAGAAGATTTATAAGATTAGATCTCATTATAGAAGTTAAATTAAACTTTTTTTTTTTTTTATGTTGATTTTAGGTGCCCCAAGAAGTCCTTACGATCTTATCACAGAGCACCGTGGAAGAGCATTTAATAGGAAGTTCACGCCTCCTTCCCAACCGATGTCGCAAAACTTGCCCAGAGGTGGGGTTTGAACCACGGATCTTACGTTTCTGAGGCAAGTGTGCTACCACTGCGCCACGGCTGCTTAAATTATTAAAACATTTTAATAGTATCTGAATTGTGAGCTTATTTAAAAGTAACAAAACTACACAAACCTTTAGTTTTGACACCTATCCAATTTAAATAACGTGAAAGCTTCTTTGACATGAATGTTTTTCCCCGAGCCGGTAGTCCAACCATGGCAAAACATGTAGGAACATTTGCTATTAAAAAAAAGTTGCATTTTTATTATAACTTTGAAAATAACTTGTTCATAAAAACACATTACTAAAACTGATATAAAAAAATACTTTAACAATAAATTTTTTTCAAGCAGAAAAAAAAAAATTGATGGTTAGGTACTGAAATAACCAAGTACTGAAATAATAAAGGCAAAATCTATTTTTACTAACTTTCTATTATTGTAATATATTTACTAATTTAATAATTGTCCATTTACTTTTGTTCTAAGTACTTATTATTTTTTGTTTACAAAGCAAAAGATTTTATGATTGCATTGAGATGTACAAAGTTTTTATTTTATGATTGCATTGAGATGTATAAAGCTTTTTAGATTTATGATAGATTTATCAAGTTTAATTTTTAATATATAAATGTCCATCAATTTGAGTTTTGAGGATGTTTATAAAATAAAAAAATTGGGAAGTAGATTCTTAGCTTTTTAACTACCTAGTAAAAACAGTTTCTATTTTTCAAATGAGGAAACCCTCAGGACAAGCTTAAACAGATAAATTTAAATCGCAAGTTAGTTTTGAGAGACGCTAAAAGATTGT